CATTTGGTTGCCTATCTTGCTGGGATCCTTTGACCCTAGCTGACTTCCTCTCTCTTGGGCAGGAGGCTGGACCCGATGATCTTATGAGGTCCCTTCCAGCCTTAATGTCTATCAAATCTATGAGATCTATTAAAAACCTTGAATGAGGGCTTTAAAAACCACGATTCCTTTTAAAAGATCATATTGTTTGATCTTTTGTTAGTTTTTTTTTAAAAAAAATTCTGACTTCCCCACCTGCCACATTCATATAACCATTACAGACGTAGCAATGTACTCTGTGAGTTTAGGAAAAGTCACTTAGGTTCCTTTTGGAAGATCCACCATAGATCATATTAGGTATCTGTATAAATGTTGTCCTACTGTACAGATGTTTTCAGCTTGCGTCTGATCTACAGATTCTAATATCGGGATCCCTGTTCAGTCCCACATCTGCTGATACCCCAGCTCAACAGTTAACTAGGCACTAGTTCAGTACCCCACACCATCAATTCCACCCTCAATAAAAGCCACAGATATTCCTGTTCTCATGCCTACTCCAGCCCCCAAGAGAACCTCCTCTCCTCCTGAAGCAAAGGGGTCTCTTCACCCTTCTCTGATGGGCAACATTTACAGAAAAATCCTTCTACCTTCACTTCCCAAGCCTGGGGTAAGGAATGAGAGAGGATATTCAGGGATTCTTGACCTCCCAGGTCTGGTGCTGGAATGCCTAGAAAGCAGTGACCACTGCCTAAAAAACTGGAGGGAGCAGGAGTGTGCACACCTGACTTGAGCAGCTGAGCTTCCCACACCCTTCATTCTCTTCCCACCAGGCATAAATGACTTCTTCTCTCCCCTTACCCTCTCTAGTCTTCTGGCTGCTCTTCCCCTGGAGGCTGCCAGTGGAGAAATCAGTCATTCAGGACCCTGGCAGATATTGAAAAAAGGGGATCTGAGGAATTTTGTTCCGCATCCTAAACACTGCACATCCTGCCATGCCAGAGGTGAATGGCAGCATGCACAATGTTTGGGATGGGACAAAAAAATCCTGAGAACCCAACTGCATATGGCAGGCCTGCACTCAGCCTGATCCTCATGGTTCATCTCAGAAACTAGTGTTTATGATCTAGGGCTGTCGATGACAGTCAGCCACCACTCGCCGAGAACCAAAGCTTCAAATGCTGATTGCTGCCCCAACTCTGGGATTCAAATTGGTCTAGGGCTGTTTGGCTGACAATCAGCAAGACCTATGTCTGGGGGAAAAAACAGGCACTTTGAAGCAACAGTTTAAATGTGCAGGGCAGTTTTAAATTGCCAGGCACAAGGATTGTAGGGCTCCCCGCTGAAAAACAGTAAAAAAAAAAAAAATGGCAATTATCCATGATTTTGACTTTTTTGCCTTGATTTTAGATTTAAAAACATTTTATGTAGAACCTCTTTGTGGCTGCTTTTCTAATTTACAGCAACATAAATTGCTTGAATGTGTGGCACATTACTATTTATGTCCAGATTAACCCATTAATTGTGTCATAAATTTAACTTGTGCCAGGGGCCTCAAACACAATTTTCTCCTGGTTGAAAATTGTGACCTACATCTTCTCAGTCATTACAAGACTGCTTTGAGGACTACTCAAAAGAGTTAACCACACTAGAACATATCAGATCTGTGTGCTCCATAGCCAAACTGCATCTCTATAGTGCACTGCACTCCCCAGTGCTGACTTACCCAGCATGGTGCATCTTGGGAGTGTGGTTCAGTTAGTGAATCTGGCCCAGAGAGAACTGGGACGTAGTGCAACTGGACTACAAATCCCAAGATGCGCTGGAACAGACCACATAGCCACAGGTTGGTGGTTAGGTGACTCACAAAAAAAAATGTGCACTTTGACACGGAGAGATTCCTACAGAAACCTGTCAAATCATATAATAGGAATCACAGGAAAATAAGACCTCACAAGGTCATCTAGTTCAGCCCCATGCACAAGGCAGGATCATTCCCAACTAAACCATGCCAACCAAGTGTCTGTCTAACCTGCTCTTGAAAGTTTCCAAGGACAGAGATGCCACAATTTTTCTAGGTAGCCTGTTCCAATGCTTGACCACCTTCCGAGTCAGAAAGTTCCTTCTAATATCCAGCCTAAATTTCCCCTGCTGGAGCATGAGGCCAGTGCTTCTAGTCTTCTCCCCTACAGCCACAGATATCATCAGGTATCTTTCACCATTTCTGAAACCAAATTTTCCTGAATCCTTTTTTTTTGCAAAAAGAGTCCATTACTTTGACTTTTTTGCACTTTTGTATAAATATAAGATGCTGTAACAGAGAATTTCCTGTAAGATGGAAATATGGATTTTCCATCCACTATAGTCCTTACGAGTCCTTGAAATAAGAGTTCAAATCAACAAATATATCAGCTGTTCAGAAAAAAGGAAAAAACCCAACAGGGTTTTGTCAGGGCATATTTTAGAAGCCAGGACTAACTGACAGCTGAAAAAAAGGGGAATTTAGAGTTATATCTGACAGCCCCCTATTCTGTCCTGGTCTTTGCTCAGGACATATAGAACTGATATGTGACTTATGGCTGGAAATAAATCTTACTTTTAGAGAGAGGTAGTTAGCCATGTTAATATGAAGTCAGGTGAGAAGGCAAGGTGAGGTAGCACCTTACAGACTAACTCATTCAGAAATGTATAAGCTTTGGGAGGCAACAGACTATCTCATCAAATGCTATGATCTGTCTGAAATCAGTGCAAATAAATCAAAGTACTGGTCTTGCCCAAGATTTGCATTTTCTAAAAGCAGGCTCTTTAAAAGGTAAGATCAATAAGTTTCCACCGTTGTTCGCAAATAAACAGTGTTTGCTTTAACTAAAACACTGCAGCTTGAAAAACCTGACAGGAAATTGATTTTTTCATTAAGGTGATCAAAAAGGTTACTGCTATGGCATGAATTCTTACCATGTGTCATGTCCAAACTACAAAACACTAACTGCAAACACCCTTATACCAAATTTTACCACATTTTAAAAACTACCTTTGCCAAACACTTCCTAAGAGAACAATCTCTGGAACTGTAAAGTTTTGATACCAAGATAATGTACATAAGGTATAACAAGCAGATGCTTTATGCATTTCATAAATCACAATTAATTGGAGAAAGACATGCTAGTTATTTATTTATTGCTCCAAGCATCTAGATCAATGCTTCCCAAACTTTTCCTCAGCATAACCCTATTTATGACCCTACTTCCTCAGCATGGTAACTCACAGCCCCACAAGCCCCCTCCCCCCTAGGTGCCCCTCACTCCCCACCCACAGCCCCC